GGCTATTCCCGGTGCACACCGAATCCGTAACCATTACGGCGTTACGGCGTCAAAAAATCGAACTACGCATGCTCGTTGCATTGTGCCCTCCACTTTCGAGATATTTTTTAATCGCCACCGTATTCATTACGGAACGTAACGGTCATTACGGATCCGGTGTGAACCACGCATTAGACGTGGAAAAAGCTAAAACATCATGTTTCTTTTTTACCGCATAATTCATGTCCAAATGTTACTTACTGCTGCAGTTGTATAAGCGCTCAGTTCCGTCCACTGAAGCGAGATGTCTTACAAAAAAAATGACTCATGTCCTCTGGAAAAATCCAGCCAGATATCCAGATATCCTGGCTTAATCCAGATAAACAAATAACAATTATAGCACCAGTGTTTGTAGTTGCATGCTATTCATCAAGCATGCTATCCTCTGAATAGACGCGTTTACATAGGGTTTGTTGCAAGCTTATATCTCCGTCCATGATGTTGCAAAAGATGCCAATGGTGCTGAACAATTTACAGAATGATCCCCTCTAAATATTTGAAGACCACTGCATCGAAATTATCGCCAAATTAACGAGCTACAGCTTGTTTGTTTGTTTGTTTGTTTTTTTTTTGGTTAGGCCCTTTCGGTCCAATGAGACCATTTCAGAGCCGGGAGGATGATAGGATATAGGGGGAGACATTGGTCTGGGCAGGCACCCTAGTGAGTCGCCGGGGCTGAGCCCGTCCAGAGGACAGGCCACCCAGCCCCAAGGCACTCTCTGCACCCGGTTACGGGGTGCGCTCCCTCGGGAGCAGCGGTGCCGCTCCAAGGGAGCAGCCCGCATGAGATAAAGTTGCCTGTCCAGCCCGGAGGGGGTTGCGGCGTGGAGGAGAAGGATTTCAGTATCCTGAGGATAGAAGCACGGAACGGTGTGAGCTACAGCCTCGTCAAATATGCTATGTAAACCGGGTTAATGTGTCTCTATCACGAGTTACAAAATAAATATCATGCAAATGGCATTAAAGGAAATAGTTCACATTTTAACATGGGTTTTGAACTGGAATAGCAGTTCCGTAGCTTGGGCTGAGACGAGCATAAATCAGGAGCTTTTACAGCCCAACGATCACCCTAGGCAAAGATATTCTATTTGTCGTCCCGAAAAATGTGTCTTGCGTTGAGGATGTGTGCCTTGCATATATTCGCATCCAGTATGAAACGAGCATGGGTCCCGAAAATTCTTCAGAAACTAGAGAAATTATCTACGAGAACTCTAGAGAAATTCGCTCCAGTGAGGCGCTCCAGTAACAAAAGCACGAGCAGATCGCCCAAATGCCGGTGGCCGCGATAATTACGGAGCGAGCGAAGCGAGCGTAGTCTTTCCTTAGATTAACGGAAATTTCTGAGTATGAGCGGCCGGCCGGCCGGCCGGCCGTGGTCACGCTTTTGCGAGGCTTATATCTCAGCAACCACTTGACCGATTTACATGCGGTAATTTTTGTAGGGTAGCTTCATTCCTGCTACCAAGTATTGGACTATTCCCGATGCATGTGGGTGACCCCTTATGCACGTGCCACGTGCAAAACGAAGAGGTGTCACTTTTGCAATTGTTGCAATATCTCGGTAACTACTTGGCCGATTGCGCTGAAAGTTGGCATGTAGGTAGGCACCCACTATGCAATGCATATCCATGTGCCAGAGTTGAGGTGCTGCTGCACGTGCGCACGTGCAGGGGTCGATTCCAGATCTCGAGAACGGCTGGACCGATGACGCTCAAATTTGGTACATGGTTAGGGACCGGTTAGTAGGGTGCCGTGCAAAAGTCAGTTGGGACCCATTTTGCACGTGCGCACGTGCAGGGTGCCGCCTCCAGATCTCGAGAACGGCTGGGTCGATTGTGCTCAAATTTGGCACATCGATAGAGACCGGTTAGTAGGGTGCCGTGCACAACTCAGTTGGAGGTACCCCCTCGCAATTTCGGTGCAAGGCTCACCCTCTCGCTCGCTCCGTTAGTCGCCCCAAAAGGCGTTATACTGGTTTCTTAGTTTCTGAAGAATTTTCGGGACCCATGCTCTTTTCATACTGGATCGCGTGTGCCTTACAGAAACTGAAAAGTTCTTCCTATATCAAAAATATAGAAAATAATCTTTTCCTGTAAAAAGGTTTATTTTCTTTGCTGATCATTTTGAACATAAAAAATCACAAATCCATTGCAAAAAAAATAATTTCGTGAAAGTGAACTATTTCCTTTAATTAATCAAACTTACCCTGAATTCAGCATTGAGATTGTTCTTGTTCGATATACCAAATTGCCTAGTCATATTCAAACTGAAAAAATCGCTATTTGACGCAAATGAAAAATATAAAGGCAATATGTGTTAGGCTGTAACAGCGATTCACTCACTACGAGCCGAGGTACGGAGAAGAGGAGATCCTGGGTAAGAGTGCTGCCACCTTCGGCGATCGTCTCCGTGTAGGGTGCTGCCATCTTACGAGGTACTTCTGGTTACCGTATGAGGTAGAGTTGGTGAGTTGATGTCCACCCCGTTGCCCTATATGCCATAAATAGGTCAAGGTGATTTAATTCAGCAGTCCATTGTGCCTTAGGCTCAATCCAGTACCAAGAGATTAGATGATGATAGGGCACATCAGCATCAAAACTATCCTGTAGAGTGTAGGCTGCCAACGCAAGAGGCGATAGCAAAAGAATGCGCGAGGTGGTCAGTGGGTCTCGAGTCTTTGGCTCTGTTTTAATGATTTACTGATGATATCATAAAAGTTTTAATATCATCTTAGCCGACAACTTGTTTTTGCTCATTTTTTTACGTAGCTAAGAAAGATGGTTACTTGAGCCAAACTTATGGATTTTTAGGGGCTCCTGCCCCGCAAAATTTGAAAGCAAATTGTTGTTTATGAATTGCTTCTTGGAGCTGCACTTGTATATATCAGTACCTACTGTAGGGTGAACATTTCCCGTAGTGCATAGACGTTAAAACAGAATGCATGATCTTGCCATATAACTGATATGCATAACGATAAGTATTTCCGATAAGTGTTTCACATGATATGGCTATCTCTGACTGCAGCTCAGCCATGGCTCAGAAACGCGGATAGGATTTTGACCTGACCACAGATGGCTATTCATATGTAAATTGTGCTCGAAAAAGACATCAGATAGCTATAGAATGAATAGAAATCGGACAGGGGAAGGGAGCACATTCCGTCGCCCGTCCGTATTTGGATGACAAGCGGGGGCACAGCTGACTTCGAGGAATCCAAGGCGGCTGGGGCCTTTCGGTATTGCTACAGTACAGGGAGAGGCTTCAGTTCAAGCTTTGAAGTAACGTTGAAAAATAGCCACTTTTAGTGTCATTGTCTTCTGTTGCAAGAAACGATATATTGCAATGAATCGCCCTATGTGTTCTTTATTCTGTCCAAGATATGTCTGCCCTTACTGGTATTTTTAGTCGCCAGCAATATGTTTGCATGAAAGTGAACAAAGTATTTATGGTCATGTGGTTATGGTTAGGTAGCGAAATCGTTGTAATAATGGACTTCTATGTTTCAAAGGTCACACAAAGCGGTCGCATTCAGCATCTGGTGGACTGGACTGGTAGGACTTGCAAGTTGTTTCGATGTACGAGCGTTTCTGTGTTGCATAAGTCGTGAAACACTAGCTCAACTGTTTGCTTTTTCACCCTATAGCGTAGATATGTAGCTGTCTGTTATTGCAAGAAACAATTTACCACAGGTAATTGTCTCTTTTCGCTTTGCTCTGCTATTCCTCTCGATAAGAACAGCTAATTTCAGTTGCAATAAATCAGGCGACACAGATAACGAGCAATCAACTGGAGAATGAGAGGCAATAATTATTTATTTGATGGTTCCGGCCACCAGAGCTGTTTTGACGGATCGCTTTAGAATGTTTACCAGCCGAAGCATTAATTGTATCGCACTGTCAAAACTCAAAGACAATCTACTAGCTGGAGTGTGAATTTGAACCCCGTTTCGTACGTCATCCCAAAATTGTTAATTAGGTACCTGAATCACAGAGAGAAAAAGGAATGGAGCTGCTCGTTTTCCGTTGGAATCGCTCTTGCGACCGATCTGCTCCTCTTGTGTTGCCTGTCGCTCTCTTCGAAGCTGCTATAATAGAACATTTATACGAGTATTTTTCACGGCGAAGCCCAAAAATTAGATTGAATATTTCCATTCGGCTATTGAGTTCACCAATCAAAGCAGTTGCCATGGGCGTGACACACCATACACGTGCCAGCTGCACCGCACCGTGGGCGCTGGTAGTCGCTCTGTGGTTCTGCCTACCCCGTTCTGTCACCCGTCTCCCGGGTACCCCCTGCGCCCTCTCCTCTCCTCTCCCGATCGCTATCTCTCTGTGTCTCCGGTTAGCAGTGGCGGCAGGTGCAGCAGGCAGACATTCCCGCCCGCTCTCTGAATGCAATCTCTGACGGTCGTGTCACGACGGAGGGGTGTCCTCAGATGTCGGGCGAGGGCTTGGCTGACGACAATCAGGGTGTGATGGTGCAATAATGCGGTAAGATCAATGACTTGGGAGTGAAGGAGAAGGCAGTAAAAGGCATGTTGAATTTCTATATTAATTGATGCGATGCTGGTTGATGCGATGGAGAGAGCTTGAAGAATTGTACAGATGTTTTGTTTATGTCTATTGCAACGGCGTATTGAGTTTGTGCGCGAATACATAGGTGGTACTTCTGGTCTTATCAGTGGCAATGTCGGCAGTACATTCGGCTTTGTCATGCTCGCTTCACCGTTGCCTGAACTGTCAGATGCAAATGTGCTAGATAAGAGATCGACGACCGACAAGAGACACGCACAGTGCGTGAACTACGTTTGAGACGACGCCCAGGCGATGTAACGTGGCACGCGTAACGTCTTTATACGGCACGTGGGCGTGACGATGTGGAGATAGCCAGGAAGCTCGGCTAGCTGAATCCCAGCTGGCACTAAACAGTGAACCCGTAGATACGTTCGTCACAAATACACGTTAAAACGAGGCAGTATTTGCTTGTTTATTATTGTTGTTACAGAAATGTTAAAACGTTATATAACACTCATGGTCTGCTGACGAGACGCATCAAAATCACTTCCTAAAATTCTTAAAGATTCTAAAAACCGTTTCACATCTATTAGCAACTGATCACTGGTATCACATCACGAATGGTGCGAGTGTTATCACAATGGATGACTTTACCTCATCATTCGTCGCAAATATTCAATTGTTAAAACTAATCTAGAAACTAACCAGATGACGACATTTTACCTGGTGTTACCCTGCAAAAACACCTCAATAAGGTACAACTGGAAACGCTTTCAATAGCCACTTAACTGCCGTAACTATTCAACAAACGACTTACCAATACTCGGCAGCAGCTGGCACAGAAATAGCACATCTAAATGCGTCTCAGATCAGAATGACAGCAAACATCTTTCACATTTCCAAACAAACAAGGTTATTACTTGCTAAAGCAGTCTGCAAAAGACAGTGTACACACTGCAAAGGTACAGTTTCAGCTGCAGCAGTTCATCATACAGCTTTGGCTGGATACCAGTCTTTTTAGACGTCTGGATGCCAGTTTGCGAAGAACCATACAAGCTGATATGCAGCTCCGAGTGGTTCATTTTATAGACCTTTTGAAGCGAAGGAAATGTCTTGTTTCCTTCGCTCAGAGCATAATGACAATGGCTTTCAAGTTTCATCTACCATAGGCTTGGAAAGTTTTTTTTTGACACAACTCTTCATTTAAACAAACAAATAATCCAAGCTATAGGTACACCAGTTGTTCCACCCATATCTCATCAGTCCGACCCTGACAAACACACCATCGGTCCGCGGTCGACTTTGTCATGTGCAGGCGCCGACGTGAGGATCTTGCTCTTGCGATGCGATTCTTGACTCCAGCTTAGGCACTGTTGTGTCTATGGCTGTCACGCTATCATTTAGAACTCATCGTCCAACGCCGGTCACCGATATTCGATTCTGGAAATATTAAGCACAAAGTCATGTAACGCGAAAATATGATTTAGTAACAATTACTAACATGATAATTCAATCATGAAAAACATGGAAGAAGAGACGCAGCAATTCACCTTCGTGGATAGTAATCGCGTGGTCGTCTGAGTCCGTCCGCTCGTCGTCTGTTTCGTTGTGTCTGTGCTCAATATCGTCCTTGGTGTCTCCTCTGTCCGTCCTTGTCCTGTCCCCGCTCGTTTCTTCTGCAGTATACCCTCCCACAGCTTCCCATTCGGTGACCGTGGCGTCTGCCCTTGGTATGTCATCTGACACTCGCCCATGGGCGGGGCCGATATGGTACCCCCCCCCCCCCCGGTCCGGCCCGCCCGTATCGAGGTCAGTGACCCCACCTGTCCAGTCTGTGACACCCACACCTGTCTGTGTGGGTGTCGGTCAAATCGCCTGTCAGGGCGGGGCGGAGTGCACACATAGCCCCCGAGAGGCTGTCGTCTCTCCGCGGCCAGAAAGTGGTTAATATTCCCTCACCAACCCCGTGGTGATGGGTCGACATGAGTCCCGGAATGTGTGAGAATCGCATAGCTGAGCTTGTGAAATTGAATAGTGCAAAGGCGTTGAGTGTCGTTGTTTCTGACCGGTCGTTTGTCACAGACGGCTGAATATGGACGCATGCTGCTGGGAGCCACTGGGGTGGTAATGGTCGAACGAGTGGACTTCTGTCAGCTACATCTGTTGTTGTCTGACTTGCAACTTGTTCGCAAGCCGGATATAGCCTGAGATGATTACTGAGATGGATGGTGGTCAGTGAAGTTCAGTATCCATTGTTGTTACCTCATGGCTAAAGAAGGTTTGTGAATCATGCCTTTCATTGCGGTTAAGTGGTAAATGCATCAAGAAAAGAATATTGGTGAGCTGACCGGCAAAAGTAGTGCATTTCACGACCTACACAACGGGAAAATTTCCTGCCGCAGCAAAATTATACATGTGAATACGTACGCCTTAATCCAATTTAGATTGCAGTAATGCATTGATGAACTATATCGCCCGTAAGTCACTTTACCTTAAAGGGAGATAATGAGCTTTCTTTTTTCTTTAATAAAAATTACTCGACATCTATACTATTTCTACTGTAGTTTCTATAAAATATGAAAATTTCCTAGCACATTTTCGTATGTGAAAATTGTTTTTATTTTTGCAAAAAAGAAGCAGTACTTGCAGTACTTGTAACACCCACCGAAATGCGTTGTCCTTCTTGTCCTTCTCTATAAAAAAGTCGCAGTATATGGCGCTTTTGTTTCAAACAGCGACGCTTGGGTTTTTGTTTATGTTATCGCCTTGTCGTTGCTTGGTTGTAAGGATTCTTATTTGAATTAGAGTTAATTCGGTTTAGAATTAATTAGATTCGTACATAGTGCCTACTCTTCTTTGTTTCCAAGTATTATTTTGCGCCACAAATGAACGGCATGCGCCAGAAACGCAGCCAAATCTTGCGATTGCGACTACGAAATTCATTATTTTGGCCTCAGAGCCTGAAGCGAAAAATACAAGCATATTTATTTCAAAAAGACTTCAGGTTTGTCGAACGGTGTTATGAGAATTTTGATAACAGTACTGCATAAGTTTTTCAGTGATGCCGCAAAAGTGTTGTATCTATCTTCTTTTATTGTGCAGTCGGCGGGACCGATTCAAAATTAAGTCGTTGCTACTAAAATAGCAGCATATGGCCTCAGATGATGAACAGGAAAAATAGTTGCGTAAATTTAGACATAAACCACCCCCAAACCATGAATATCTTTTGAAGGCACTATAGACGACCATTAACTAACTAGATGTGATGAAGATCAAATGTAAGGAATACGCTCATTTTACAAAATTACATGCAAGTACCAAAAAGTGATGTAAGTACTTATTCAACGGTCATTTTCAGCGCTCCCCGCTAACGTGACTTCAAGTTGAGATATTTGCGGCAAGGTACCGCATTGAGCAAAATGGTTTTAATTTACATTATAACTTGTTGTGTTTTGTCAGAAAATGATCCTAACTCAGATTTTGTGGAAAAAGGTCATTATCTCCCTTTAATAAGTTATAACCAGTAAAACGCCTTTTGGGCGACCAACGGAGCGAGCGAGAGGATGGGCCTTGCACGTGCGAAATTGCGTGGGGGTACCTCCAACTAACTGGTGCACTGCACCCTACTAACCGGTCTTTAGCGATGTGCCAAATTTCAGCGCAATCGGCCTAGCCGTTCTCGAGATCTGGAAGCGGCACACTGCACGTGCGCACGTGCAAGCGGGGTCCAAACTGACTTTTGCACAGCACCCTACTAACTGGTCCCCAACCGTGTACCAAATTTGAGCGCAATCGGCCCAGCCGTTCTCGAGATCTGGGAGCGCCCCCTGCACGTGCGCACGTGCTGTAGCACGTGCGCACCCCAACCTTAACACATGCAGATGAATTATCTGATGGAGACCTAACTGTGTACCGAGTTTCAATTCAATCGGCCCAACCGTTGTGCCGTTATTGAGGTTGCAATTTTGGGGGTTCTTAAAAAATGTCCAACTTTACCACGCGCCACGTGCGGTGGTTGGCAAGAACGCATGGTGGCCATCACACCACAGAACTTTTACGCCCAAGTGACATTCAGGAAAGAAGACCGCTTGTCAATCGGATGTCCCGTTCCTAAGATATTAGCTTTTGAAGAGCGTCCCCACGGTCGGCCGGCCGGCCGAGTAGTAAAGGAATCTTGGGCCGGCCGGCCGCTCATACTCAGGATTTTCCCTTAATTCAGTATGAGACTCCGCTCGCTTCGCTCGCTCCGTAATAAACGGCATGCAGCACATTCATTCACCGATTGCCGAATGAGAAGGCAAATCATGCTCGTTGCTCTGAGAGCAGTGCTCTCAGAGCACTCTAGCACAAGCCTACAGAAAAAAGGCATCATGAGTAAATAGCAATCATGACCATCACAAAAGACCTACTACCAAAAGTGCTGCATCACCAGGGCTTCCAAACCAAGGCGAAAGTTGACACTTGGCATCGCTTGGTGTAGGTCTACATCCATGAAAAATACACGCAATAGGTACGCGTGGTGCACAAACTACTAACGTCCACAGGTATCCATGATTTCCGTTAAATCCAGCTTTGTGAAGCCTTTGTAGCTCTAGTTCACCGCTGTTTTCTTCTTTAAAATCGTTATATTGAAAGTTAACAGTGTTACAAGCAAGCAGTACTATGGCACATCGTGAACGGGACGAGAAACAATTGGTTTGTTATAAGATTTCGACTTCCATGATCATTCATTTATTCATTTTTTTCTTTCGATTCCTGGAAGATCTCGTCAATTGTATAAAATTCTATACTGGCTGGCGCACAGGAGACATGATGCAATAGCTTCAAAAGTGAAAAGCGTTGTTAGTGTAAATACAGGGTGACACAAAAAAGCGGTCATCACCAAATTTCGAATAACTTCGGAAGTTTTATTCAGATCATCACCAAACTTCGGCCACTTTAGGTCACACCTATATGTAGCAGACATCCACCAAGTTTCAAGTCTTCACTACGAATACTTTTAGTACAGTGTGTGTTTTACGGACGCTCCACAATGTGCTCCAGGTGAGCGCCCCGGCGCTGCAGGGCGTAGGCACACCTGCATCCGGCGGGCAAAGTTGCCGATAACCCGATAAGAATAACATTTCAGGGGTAGCACACCCCCTGAGCACTGTCTCCAGAGGCCATTGCACTCTGTAAAGTGCACAGCCATCGGGTTATCGACAACTTTGCCCGCCGCATGCAAGTGTGCCTACGCCATGCAGCGCCGTGGCGCTCACCTGGAGCACATTGTGGAGCGTCAGTAAAACACACACTGTACTAAAAGTATTCGTAGTGAAGACTTGAAACTTGGTGGATGTATGCTACATAGGTGTGACCTTAAGTGGCCGAAGTTTGGTGATGATCTGAATAAAACTTCCGAAGTTATTCGAAATTTGGTGATGACCGTTTTTTTGTGTCACCCTGTAAAAAAAAATACGCCGCATTAGGTTATCGGTATTCCAATGTCGTAATTCGAAGGCATGCATCGGTCATCCGGAGATACATTTCACATGTGACTTACTTGATCAAGTCGTAGCTGTTCTGGCACATCAACTAAGCATGCAGCCGGCCATGCCAGAGCAGAGCTGACGGTTACAATCAGTTCGCATCGTGCTCACTATCGTGTTGGCAATACTGTTTTGTGCTAATGTTGACGTGGTTTACAAGTCAGGAAGGTCAAGCCGTCGCATATATCAAAGTCGGTGCGGATAAGCCGTCACTTAAGTTTTTGTCGACGGGGCTCAGAGGAATGTCTCCACAAAAATAATTAAAGCTGCTGTCGTGTCCCCGCTGGTCATCCTTGGTCATCCCACTGTCACTGTTTATGTCGCTGTCATCTCTGCCAGGCCGTCAGGGCATTCGTTTTACTATCTGACGTCGTCCTCATGTCAGGTCATCGTCGGTTATTCCCGTCTATCTTGTCAACGTTCTTGTCCGTCATCGTCAACACGCTGTCGGTCTTAGTAACCAGAATTCAGAAGGGGCCGCTCTGATCAAAACGTTCCCAGTCGACTCACAGTGGCAGTACACATTGCCGGGAGCAGAGCGACGGGCAGCACTTCTTCGGACCCGGACAGTGATCGTCCGCGTCGCAAACGTTGACCCTTGACGAGCCGCGGCAGGGCGGCCGGAAGTCGTCGATGAAGGAGGGTGGCGGGCAGAACCCCGCTTTGGTCGACAGCACCTCGTCTGAAATGAGACAAAAAGGACAGTTTAGTTTGACGCGATTTAAGTAGAACATTTATATGCTGGCTGCTAACGGTTGATGTATCGTATGCTGACTCTTCAGCTGACGAAGGGGCAAGAGCTCGGCAAGGACTATTGGATTAAGGAAGTCGCAAATGGTTCCTGGCCAGCTCTACTGGTTAACGGTCACAGCTTTTACCGGCGCCCACCTGCAGCTCCCAGATAGGTGCTATTAGTCACAGATCTGCGAGTCACGACTGGACATCACTGGTAATGACTTTTGGCGCCGCCATGACATTAAGCAAACTCATGAATGCATTTACCTGTTTGCTAAGCTGTGTCTATACGGCGACGCGTCAGTGCGAGATGCCGTCGAGCCCCTACGAGCGGTTTAATTATGTAAAATGAGCGTTTGTGTAAGACGGTGCCTTGTGAAACGCCCGACACTCAAGTGTTAACATACTTGACAGTTGAAGAGGATATTTGAACTATATCTACGTTGGAGAGCCGTATTGCATGCAAACTATCCTGTTGCAATGAACGCGTACATCAGCGTAGTAAGGCAGAAAACGACGGTGAAGGGAACATAAAGCTAGCTAGAGCTATTACAGCAAAGGAAAAGCGATAGACAGCCAAAAAGTCGATAGATTTAATCAAAGAGCAATCAGCGACAATCTGGTTATGATAGATAAAAATATGTTGATCCATCGTCGCACCTGGCGGAACGCAGGAGAAGACACAGCCGTTGTGGCAGCACTTGAGTCCCTGCGGACACTGGTGGTCGTTGGCCCGGTAGCACTTGGGTCTGCCGTCCCTCCAGCAGCGGACGGCCACGTGCCAGGAGATGGCCGGACAGGAGCCGGGCCGCGCCGGTGGCTGGCACACCAGGCCACAGCCGCTCGGACAGCACTTGGTGCGGCCCCCACAGTGACTGTCCCACAGACAGAGATTCCGCTTCGGCTGCCGGCACCTCAGCCGCTCCAGGGGTGCGTGGGGACAGCCGCCGGGCTTCGGGGCAGTCGGATCTGACGAGCGGGCGTCGAACAGGTCAGCATGGGTCATACCGGGTCATCAGAGATCGCATCGTGGGCGGCAAATACTGCATATCAGTGTCTTTATCCTCACTATGCAGAAGAAATACCATGTTCTCAAAAAGGGGGTGTCACACACTTTTGCGTGAGCTGCTGCGTAGTTGGAGATTTTATCATCGCTTGTTCAGACGGTAAAAATCAGTCATATACTGGCATTTGAATTCAACATTTCAGTCGCTTGAATAATTTGTTTCACTTGAAATTCATGAAGGCTTGGTGTCGAGTCACAAGGTTTGTTGGCAGTCTGTCACTATCAGTCACGTCATTTGTTACGTCATATCTCCATTATCATGCCTTTAGTCACGTCAAGTTTCCATCAGTCATATGTCATCTCCCTCCTCTGCGTTGCAGCAGCCCGTTACCGTGTCCTGTCCGTGACTGAACTATGCTATTATGCGTCTGTTCTCGCAGCTCGGTAGGCCACAGCAACAATTCGTTCTAACTAGCAGAGGCGGGCACGATTGGCTACCGTCATTGGTTATTCACTTGCCAACAATCGCCAGCGGCTGGCACAGGTGCGGCTCGATAAACAGTCCCAATCAGTCTCAGTCAAGGTGGAGATTATCCTCTCGGGGACCGAGAATAATCGTCCAGTCATCGTCTTCAAGTCGGTCCGATGGAGGAGGTCCAACTGTCTAGAAGTTCCCGAAGGCTTTGTCGCAGTCACGATGGAAGTAGGTCGTCGACGGGTTAGATGCGCAGCAGAGGTCAGGTCACGTCTCAGGTTAACTCGAGAGTTCTCTCAGTCTCAGTCGATGATGAAACGTCCCCCATGAAAAGTAAATGTATGATTGTCTTCAGCGCTGGATGATATTTAACCGTTGATAAAATATTGGGATATATGAAGAAAAGTGCATTGAAGATCGAAGCATGATGGGAGGCTTCGCGCCAGCATATTTACGAGCAGGCGTTCGATGCCAGAAACAATAAGCACGGAGAGTTGACAAAAGCATTCAATGAAATAAGGTGGACTTGGATCGATCGTTGATTGCGTCGTCCATTTGTTAAAATTGTCCGTCTGTATTTTTTCATGTCAGGCATCATACATACGTGTCAATGCTTACTTTCATGTTGAGCTTATCTACAGTTATTTTGCCATGCTAAAAAAGCGCATAGTGTACTAGTGTAGAAACACAGATTGAATTTGAGCAAGTGTTTCATCTCAATTCATTTTCTCATTACACATGTCGACACCCACTCGCGTTTTGCCGATATTTCATCGGATAACGACCTCGGTCTGACTCGGCTGCCCCTGCCCACCAGGCCGTATCGGTACCTGGCCGCTGGGGGCGTAATGTGCCGACCATCTTTACGGCCACGACGGTGCTGGTTACATCAAGGCGGGGCCCCTCCATGCAGGGCTTTACGGGTGTTACGTCCACTTTACGATACCGTCGAGCAATCTCGATTCGGCGCGCCAAATATGGCAGCTCGGATGGCGCCGCGTCTGCCGATGAGCGAATCGCCCCCGAGCGCTGCCAAACTGGGCCGTATGTGGCGGACATGTGAGAGTCAGCCGTGTGAGATATCGGAGACGGTGAGAGAGGCCCGTGATGGTGGTCCCTGCGCAGCTCTCCGGGCTTACCTTCAGCCACGACGGCCGCCTGGACGGCTGCAGTGATCTCCGGTACTGTCGGCAAGACGAGAAACATGTCAGGTGTGCATTTATCAGGATTCAGAGCATCGGTGCAGTTTTCATGTGACGTCATTTAAAAATTACATCAAGGCACAGTGTGATGAAGCTTTTGAAAACCTATGCAACGCGTGGTAATGGTGAAACGTTTACCATGAGATTATTGTCAGGAGTTGCGGAAAGGGCCCTCAGGACAGGGAGGTGGCGTGTCTAAGCGGTAATAAAGGGATGAATGAAGTTGTGCATTGGCCGCGGGGATGGGAGGCAGCGCAGTGCAGCAGCAATCAGAGGGATCGAAAGATTGCACGAACCATAGCTGAAAACAATCTGATTGTATGTATAGGTACCGACTAAAGGAGGCCATCAGAGCTGCTGAATGGGTGTAATCTGTCTTCAATCGATCTGAACGTATAGACCTGTTGGTGGTGTTGTTAGCATTGTTTAGGAAGTGAGTGAGTACTGAACACGGAATACTTTCCTTTTGGTATTACGCAAACAGTGAGTAATGACGACACAAAGGATCCAAGATGTTGGAGGAATCAGCTGTGCAAGCGATGTTGCATAGTACATGGGGTGCGGTTTTATCAGATTTAGCGACCCCACATCGCGCTGATATTCTAATGCTATACAGGGCGCGTCCCATGTTCCGACCAGCTCGTAACGTACATAGATTTCTGCTGCCTGCAGCTGCATGCTTGTAGGAAAGATAAGGTTCATTGAGATTCACTCACGACATTGATCATAGCAGGACTACGTTTGACCTGTCATGTTGCATTGTTGTTTTTGAGTGGTACTGTCGATGGTATGTTGACGTAAATAGAATCCAGATTTCAGTTTCCAGTTGTCCAAGTACAATGGAGCAAGAGACGTTACATGTGCTACAAAATATCGTGGAGGTGGTCCACAGTGAAGAGCAAGACGTTTTAGGCAATTGGTATTGTATTGTTTTGATTTCAGCATTAAATAACGTAGGAATTTTAACAATACGAGGAAAACAAAACGCGTTCCATTTCCATTTCGGCCAATACCTCCTATAAAAAAATGTCGGATAGGTAGTTGAAACAAAACCGATGGAACTTCCAGGATTGGAATGCAAGACGCAAGTCCTGTTTCAGAGGAATTCCTACTAAGATCCGTCCTAATATTGTATTGAGCCATTTTCTCGAACCTGATTTTTCGAAAGGAATATCAATTATACCTTTTTGTCTTTTTTTTATCTTACAGAAAATTCAGGAGTCACAAATTTAAGTGAAGATAATAAAATGGCAAATTTAAGTAATGGCCCCCAGCTTCACTCCACCTTGTTGTTGCTGTTGTTTTCTCCCTCCAGCCCTAGGGCGTAGCCAGTCGGCTCTGGAGGGAGACGAAGGCGGCCCCCAGGGCCGCCACTCCCCTTCGTGGCTACCAGCATTCACACTGACTGACAGCAAGGTCTATAGCAGAGCCCATCGTCTATTTCCCTAGCCACATGCATCACTGAGCAGATGCAGAGACCGAGACACTCTCAGTCGTAGCACTTTTCCTGTCCCTATCACTCTGTCTGCTCGGCCAGAGCTGTCGACAAGCTACAGACAGAGGACATTAGTGACCAGACATTACAATGCCATCGATGCGCTCATGAAAACAACTGGCATCGCGAACCTATCAATCTGAGAGTAGCTCTAAGAAGAACTTACTAACTATAACCAAGACCCATGCATAGCTTATGCATAGATTTCAATTTTAATAATTTTGAGCCACTTTCCAGTCCTATCGTACTTCATGGTGACAATTGACAAACCAAACCTTGCGAACTCACAACTCATGCACCGAGCACTCTGAAGATTCAGATCATTCAAAAGTATTATTTGATAATTTGTATAGGGGATAGCGTCTCAGTGTCCACACACACTTCATATCTTAACGGGTCAAAGATACCTCGTCGTTCGGCCCACGCTGAAGCATGTGCCGTTGCATGGCCCATAATAATGTGCCATATGTAAGGGCGTAATGGTGCGGACGCTGACAGAGCCGCCCACTTATGACGTCAGTCGATATTCGCTGCGTAGGAAAGTAATGACGTCATCAAGGGTGGGTTTAAGGAGGTCGCCAGTCGGCCATTGAAATAAGGGTTCATGAAGGGGTTCACTATAGGACGTTATTAATGCCGCAATATTTCAACTTTGTTGGATGTGATTCATTGGGCATGACAGGGGGAACTTCATATTAATCTTTTGATAAATGGTTTTACTAATTGCTTTGATTGGACCCATTCCATTGCAAGTGACTGAGTTACCAAGAACAACAGTGTAGTGATTGAACTACTGTGAGGGCTCTGAAGATGGCTACAAAACAATAATTTGTGTTTGATAACGATAAGCAATTCACATCGTAGCCTGATGACTTACGGTCTCTATGTCTGCCTCGATGCACCATCCCCTCTCCCTCTCCCTCTCCCTCGTCACCTGGCGGCAGACAGAAGTGGTTGCCGGCCAGCTGGCAGCATTTCAGCGCGGTCGGACACTCGAGCTGTTCGGGCCGACTGGGTCGGCACGGTACCAGCTCGCGCAGCAGGGCGTCTCGTTCCTCCAACTCCGCCTCACTCGACGGACACCGGCCCGGCCGTGCTGTCAGAGAATCACACACATCTTGGGTCACTAATGGCCAAATAACTACGACTGGTTATGCCAAAATATATGATTTTAAGCATAGACATCGGTACACCTGGTGTACTGAGGTCTTCGTATATGTTTGAACTTCAAGAAAGCAAGCCAGATGAAATATGAGCAGTGAAAGAAAAGGAGAGTATACGAACCAACAAGCTCTGTAAACGTCATGTGTAATTTGTCCAGCGTGTTGTGTCGAAAAATAAAGTTGCTGCAGTATCTTTCGCCATCATAACAAGCCAGAACACTGAAACAGGTGGCTGCCGAATCATGGAAGTGCTGCTTGGAGCTAGCTACCGATTGCATCAGCTCACCACTATGATCTCATACTGTAGAATTAACTGACATTACGAGCAATCAGCGTCAATTTAGGACCGTTTAACTGTCTGGAAGACTGCTAAGCATGAAGAAGAATGTAGGTATAACCAACTACTGCCAATATTGGTCAGTCTTGTCCAACTGCTATTGGATGCGTGTAGCAAGTCAGTTACTCCTTATGACAGCCTTGCTTCGTGGCTTTTCGCTTGTTCTACATACATATACTTTAACCGTCAAGTGATCGGCTCTGCACGGACAGGGCTGCGGCCGCGCTGGGCCACTGTTCTTTCATCCCTTCATTACAGGGAATATCATGTGAATCGCGGCGCGTGCGGTAGATGGTATCTCACACTTATCTACCGGAGCTGTCAACAGCACAGCTCTGCTCCGTTGGAGACACCGCAGATCCGTCGGAGACTGACAGAGACACAGCGCCGACCGGGGAGACATGTATCATTCATGACCGTTCCGCAGCGGGGACCGCCGGCGCACGACGGTGGCATTACTCAGAGCACGACCACGGGACAGCGCCCCGGTGCCGGGAATTTCGGAACTGTTGGAAAGCCGCTCCTGCAGGCGGCGGCACTTCTCCACAGGAGCATTGTCACGTCAGACACTTGGAAGGGTCGGTTGAAAGCCGCCGCCGCGGCAGCGACTGCGACGCGGCACAAGAGAGTAGCTGCGTCACTTGGGAGACTGCAATAGCGCACAGGAAGATAACCGCAGTGTGCATTGCGGCGCAGTCTACCTACCAATGTGCTCTTAGTCGCCCCAGCGTAAGCCATAAATAGCATAGTGCATACAAAAATAGAAATATGTAGAGACTTCTAGTTTCTGGGTGAATGCTATTTACTCCATTACATGGCTGAACGACTGCGATCTCCGTGTCATTCACTCACCACTTAATTCTGCCCAATGCGCACCCATGCCGTTCGGAACTCTCACGCTTCCTATAACATTTATAACGCTTAAAGGGACCCTCCCACCTTCAAAAAAGTTAATGAATTGGCATGAAAGTGATGTCGCTCGGTTCAGAAAGAGCAAAAACGAATATCTACCAAATTTCATCGAAAAATATTCACCGGTTTTCAAGATATTAGACTTTTACTTTTGTTTACTTTTTGGGATCTCCGCTGTTCCTAGCGACTTTATTTGAAAGTGCGGCATTTGTTGCGCGCAAAGCAGCATAAACCACCGCGTGCTACAAAACGTTTAGTCAAACATTTAACGGACGTTCGAAAGCCTGATGACGTCATCAGATTCCCGTAATGGTTAAGAGATAGGGACCACGCTGGTCCCACCCTGCAAGTAAAGGGAAGAAATTTCTTGAACACCATAAAGCTGCGGGGGTTGCGACCAGGATAAATGGTGGTTTCTGAGCCTGGCCGCAAACTTGGCTATCTCAACTCAAAACTAATGTTAAGGTGGGAGGGTCCCTTTAACTTGTGTATCTTCTATCTTCTTACAGTACCAACAGCGTCCACATTTTATACATCATCCATACAGCACTCATCTCATGCTGTTCCCTCTCTCTCTCATTGCCTTCTGAATTAATGCATGCTTTCCAGCCCACATTCCTAATGCTTCTCGACTAGCCCATATCACCCAAACCGCCCGTACCGCCCATACACATACACACCCATCTTGTACACATGCCCCGCCGCCCATGCTGTCCATACCGCCGTGTTGCCGTCCATCAACGTCTCTCCTCATTTGTAGGCTGCGGTCGCGAACAGAGACGCCCCGCGGCGCCGGCCCGCTTTGGGCAGTGGTGCCGAGTGGACGTGCACTCAGAGTCACCCCCTGCTGTTGCTGGTCAGACTAGGGGGCTGGGACTAGTGGACCAGGGCCAGGAGACCAGTGCCAATGGACCAGGATCAGGAGACAAATGGTCCAGGGTGGTCCAGAGAAGATTGGTGGGCCGGGGAACAGTGTAAAATGTGGTATGCGGAGATTGAAGAGGTCTGGCATGGTTCAAACAGGTCCAAAATCGCCCAGGCTGAGATACATTGGGACACTATAGACCAGTGATCCAAGACGTCCAGCAGACCACAACAGACCTGAATCTCTAGCCCGGTCCTGATTCAGACTAATTCTCAGCCCGGTCCAAAATGGTCCGCGCTGTCCCGCGAAGCTGGTCTGGTCCGACCTTGGCCGGTCAGTGCCGAGTCCCACCCGGTAGAGGGATGGGCGACCCGCGGGCGGCGCCACGGTGGGTAACTGCCGACACTAACTGCCCTTACCGGCGCCGGTGGGTGGATTGTGACGAAACCGGCGCATGACGGCCTGTTGCAGTTCACCACCGCCGTGCCGCTGTGAACCTCTCCCGGGTGATCAACCAACAGTTGATTTTCCCTATACTCAACGTTCATTGCTGAGTTTTCAGGCCGGTACAGCTAAGAGGTTTTAGGAAGCTCGAGGTCCATTTGTGACGTCTTAGGGTTTATGTGCGTCTTAGCTATAGGAGAAGCTGACGCTATTTGGAGTGTAGCTCATGCAAGTACCTATTCCTGCTCACGTCCTTCCACCGAATATAATCTATCAAGTTGTCATCTTAGTAGAGATCACTTTAAAGGTAGTGTGCCAGCTTTCCTGGACCGTATGGAGTTAATGGCCCAGATAAGGAGAACCGGATTTTTAGAACTTATCCATACCTTCAAAACTCATGGAAACGTCTTAAATTCTTCAAATTTTGAGTACCCCAGTGCGAAATTCGCCCCGACGGGTTGTCGGTCGCACCCCAACCACATTTCACACCACTATGAACAATAAATGCACACACTGAAATCGCTATTACCGATATGCTCATCCAATCAAGTTTCGATAAACCCGTTCATCATCATCTCCTGCGGTTTCGAACACGCCTGTTAGGTGGTGCGGTAGACCGCGCCCAAAGCCAGGGCCCCGGTAACGCGAGGTAGCCGAGTCGGGGCAGCGTGCGCTGACCCAAGCCGGGGCCGCGCGTCCTCCCGGTGTCATGTGATAGCCCGGGGCTGCCCGCGGGGATGCGGTAGACCGCGCCCAAAGCTGCGGCCCCGGCTTGGGTCAGCGCACGCTGCCCCGACTCGGCTACCTCACGTTACCGGGGCCCTGGCTTTGGGCGCGGCTTCTGCTCATACTTTGTGGTGCGGTGGTGGTGCGTCGGGCCGCGCGCTCTGACTTCGGCCAAGAAAAATGCGTCAGCTGATCATTGTCATTTCTGCCACTTGCGTGTGGTGAAATGGGGTCATAACTTAAGAGACGGCTTTTTCATATAAATTATTTTACATAAAATCATATTTCAAACCATAAATAATGTTCGACAGCTAAATAAAAGAAACGATACCAATACAGGCTTACAGTTTAAGGCTCGACATTGTGTTGTCTACGATTAGACAGCTGATAACTCATTCCCGTACGTCGTAACTCTATAATGACCTTTGCTTATTGTCACATGTGCGCCGCATTCGCGATTGTTGCCGACGCCTGTTTGCAGGTGAGCCCACTACAGTTGTTATACATATCGAAAAACCGATAAACTTTTAGGCGAAAAGGCACCATTCCAGGCCCATTTTTGATTTTTTTTTTTGCGATTTTAGGTAAAAACAGAAGCTTCTTATCCTAGGAAAAATAAAATGGGAAATCTTTCAAAGGTGGCACACTACCTTTAAGTGACAAGTTGTATCCGTTGTTTGACTGTATAGGAAGGAATCGTCTCACCTGCCTCCGTACACTGTCGATTGCAGCCTTTTCTGCAGCAGAGCTGTCCCAGAGGACAGTCTGAGTCCTGTTCACAGTCGTCCGGTGGTGGTCTGGGGCAGTAGAGTCCGCTGGGGACCGGTGGACAGCCGCCCAGGCCAGCTGAAACAGACGACACCTCAGGTCAGGGGCGCTAATAGTGTTGCGTGCAGGCACCGAAAGTGTCGTGTGCAAACGTAGTACTGCGTGAATGACCCAGTAGTGTCGTGTAAAAGCGCCGACGTCTTTGGATATTCATCCAAAGTGTTTTGTACAATGAACGTGTATTGATGCATTTGCATACACTTCTGTCATCATCCTAACACAAAGTCTCCTCCATTATGTGGCAGCAGTTGGCTTCTGTTATTCTCTCCATCTCCATTGTTCAGTGAAGGTCACCAAGTGGGCTGACACCGCTCGCACTGGTGCAGCAGAGCGCTAATTACGCCCCGCTCGGCCGTTCACCTCAGCACTGTCATCACCGGTGACACCACATATATCACCGCGCACTGCGGCCCGGCCCGCTCTGTAGAGATAGCGTGGGAGTTAGTGTGTCGTGGCCATATATCGTGCTGTCATATATACTGTCATACGTGTGCTGGTGGAGCTGTAATGTATCACGGGGCGATGCATTGAGAACGGCTGGGCAGTTCATCTGGATGAAATGATATGCAAAATGAGCACTAGATAAGCGTACTTGTAGTCGGGTTGAAGCGTGCGGCGGGTACTCAAAGAGGGGAAGGTAGGTAGCTGGCAAGGAAGGAATTTATAGCATCAGTGCAGCTGGCTGGATATACCTACATAGATAAGCTATGATGTGATGCTGAAATTTTTGTTATTAAAGCAAAATGAATTACGCGACGCTGGTATAATTTGAACAAAAATGATCCCAGTTATTTGATAACTTGTTACAGCTTCACTCGGTCTAGTGCTCAAAATAGTGCTGAATTAGTTTCATCGTAACTTTGTTTTGAGAGACAAATATGTCATAAAAATGCAAACGATTTTAGTCAATTTACCATCCAGAACTTTTCCCTATAAACTATAAACGATGGCTATACAATAATGATTTGTCCTTTTACAACTGAACTGCCCCAACAGGCCTACTGCTTTGGCCTACTCCGAATTTCGATGTAACTTATTTCAAACACCTCATAAACAAAACTCTCTCAGCCTCCTCCAAGTGCAGCAGTATGGCAGCAGTTATCAGCCAATGCATTTCTCAAATCAACATCACTCAAGTTAGGGCTTAGCAAGTTGTAACGTCATGTACACAACGTCTTCATGAATTTCTGATTGATGAAGCGTTCAGTCTCATCACCTGCTGGGACAAATCATGCCTGTCTCCGCACACCCATTGTCGGGGAAATGTTTGACGCCCGGCATGACAGCACAGTATGTCGGTACATCAGATCGCTATTTATACTCTATCGCAACGTGCTGGAAACGACTGTCGTTGCGCCTTGTCGTGACTTAAGCCTGTTGAATGGGTACAGGTTGGATGAGATGGCTTACTCTCTGAACACGCTTTGTCGGCCGTGTCTCAACTTCATCTGCATAGCTATTTATTGGATGCATTCCACGTTGACTGCTAATGCACTTGTTCGCGACACTCGACTAAAAATCTGACACCACTGAGGGCATGTAATCGTTAATAAGTTTAGCTCTTAGAGAGCAAATTATCATAAAGTTAGCGGTGCTAGGAGTCCTTTTGTTATTGCGATGAAGACATGTTTGGTATTCGTAGACAAAAAGGGCAAGAAGAACGAAAAAGCTCGTACACAAACAGCTGCGAGTTGTGAAGAGAATAGAAACTTACCCGGATCAGGTGATCTGTCTCGCTTAGTGGCTAGCTGTTTAGATCGTATGTACCGATTAAATTCTAAGCAGTCCTGACAACCATGAGCAATTACAATAGCGGCCCGCATCTCCCATTGTGCGGGCCTTGTTCGAGGCAATTCAAACCAAGGCCAAAGTGTCGGACCAGCTGTCCTGCAAGGGCAGCTGATGCACGGTCCACCTGCCAACCACCCGGATGAGATTTAATCCAAGTGCCTATCGAAACGTTTACTCGGTTTCGTGTCTATTGGGCTTATAACTACATAGGAGTGAATGTTTTAGAATACTTTATATAAATATATTATAGAATACCTTATTTTTCGAGAAGCTCACGGGGAGCGATATTTATGTAGTAACATTTGATCATGCAGTGGATAAGAAGATGCTTTTAGTTCGGTTGCGGGTTTCATGTGCAATGCGCCAGTTAAACACCGTACCACCGTGTTTAGATGAAGTTTGTTGTTCGCAGACCCCCAAAGTGCCTTTCGGGAGTTAGCGCTGGGTTGTGCATTTTTTTTTTATCGATTTATACAAAATGAATAGACGAAAATACACCTGCAGCACTTTAATAAACACTCAAGCCTAGCGATATGATATATAGATTAAGGCATTTACCATAGCATAAAAATCAAAATTGTGAACAAACACTGTCTTATCGATGAAAGAAAATCACGAGTAGTGTGGCACAGCCTTGAATAATGACGCAGGCTGAGTGAACCCTCCCAGTCATTAGCATATTCAATGGAGCGACCGTAGTGCCCCGGAATGGGTGGAGTCATATTGGGCCGATCTCGAGGTCATGTGAAGCGTGTCTTGTTGCACTTCAAAGGACCACCTCCACATCAGAGACCGCAGCGCAGCAGCCACCTCTCAGTGTCACATCAGAGCATTAAGTGTAACACTAGAACCAACTATTTTATAGGTATACCACAGACTTATTTATGCAGACGACTATGTTCATACTTATACTATACCTATGACTTGCATCGTTCACTGGCGATATCCAAAAACGAGTATTTTTAGCAAAAAAAAAAAAACAGTAACTCTTTCTAAGTGTTCAAACTCATAGCCTCCTTCAAAGCTGCAGTTTTACTAAATAGAAGTCCAGCTTTCAGTTCAGTGGGAGCCGTAATTTTACCGCATTCACTAACCAAGCCGCGTTCCTGGACCTTTCCCAGGGTTTACCGGTGGCCTAATCGACGGCGTATGATTTGTCAAAGCGTCATTTGGGTAAATATCTTACTATTTGGCAGCAATTGGTCAGTATTTGACGGCAATTGGCCGATGTTTGAAGGACTTCGGTTCAAACAAATCATTGTTTGACGGCTGTGTGATGCCAGTGACTGGCGTGGCTGCGTGATGTCAATCACCAAAGACTGCAGGACCGTGGATAATTGTTAATTCATGAGGCAACTGCTCATTTAGAACGCAGCTGGCAGAGAACGAAGGGCAAACAGAGGTGTAAGAGCCGTTAGCTGCAAAAACGCAAGAACTGAAATGGTTGAGTTCAGTTCCGGCTTAGCCTTACTTTCAATCGTGGTTACACTCATGCGAAGTTATTTTTCTCGATATTATTAGCAGTGATCGTCGATTTCTGTGGCATTAAGCGGCAAGCAACTAATGAAATGTAAAAACAACAAAATTTTGCAGGCATCCGGAGCCGGACGCTGGCCATTTCTTTGTAAGACTGGACGATACAATTGGAACAATGGCTTCTCAATAATGCATCTATTTGATATGGTCGATATACCATATGCCGCACGACTGACTTATAAACCGGATGTTATCCAATATAACTCGACAGCAAGCGGTTTCTTTTAACCCACATCGGAAGTTTTAATCGGATTCAATGAGGTGCAGATGCAGCTAGATCGGAATGACATACGAATATTGGCGCCACCCAGCCTCAAACAACTACACATGAGAAGTCACGGATGGTCATGATCAATATCATATGCAGTGCATACTAGTCGTTCGTGACCTGACCTCACGTACATGGAGTCACGGTCACCGCATACTACGGCTCATCGCAGCCCGTCGTTACTCAAGAACCTCGGGTACATCGGACGATTTACCAGTTTAACATATTAAGGGCATCATATTGGCCCGGTTATGTTAATTGAGCAGCACCATTAACACATACGAAAGTGTCTTCGTTGAAGCTGAGTGCTCGAATAAATCGCCATGCATGAATGTGTTGCACATTTGAGGCACGGGAACATCGTTATTTGTGCAGCATATTATATGAACTGGCAGATTATGTGCAGAGGTATAGGAATTATAAATATGTCAATCTAGAGCATTAAGCAAACAACGGACGCTGTCAAAGTGTCCGTCAATGCATGTTTCGTTACAACTTTCATAGAAAGATTTGCATGACACAGAAACAGATTGCATACTCGAAAATGCATTGCAAAATCCGCTTCACAATCATATGTCCAATGTTCATTGTCAAAACTTACATACCCAGTCAATCATATGTTCAATCCACGCATGGAAAGAATGTTTAGACATGAAAAGAATTGGCCAATAACACCGGCAAAGTTGAGCGAATGGTTATCGAAATGGCACAACTTGATAACATAGATATGGAACTATATAGCGTTTGTTTTTAATCTGTCAGTAAATATTTCGGTTGTATTTGCAAGCAAATAGGCAAAAAAATGCTTTTGATTATTTTAACGAATAACAGGTTTGTTATACTATTTTCTCTTGTTTGAATTGTTTGTAACTCTTCGATATGCTTCTAATTTCGCTCTACCAGACGCTAAACACTGAAATAAAGTCAGGATATGAAGATATTTGTTATAAAAGAGATTTCGTACATATTTTTTAGTGACTTTATCCTTGTTGGTTAAGAAAGTTGAATTTAAACACTTGTTTATTAATTGATTCGAGCACAGCCCTTCATCAAAATACAGGTAAAAAAAACGCTTTTTAACTGCGTTTTTAAAAACATGCATTTTTAACTTGTACTCTGATGAGCTGCGCTCAAAATTATCAATAAATAAGTGTTTTCATTTAATTTTCTTAACCTGCGAGGATAAGGTCACTAATCTAAAATGATTCAATATGATCTTCACAAGAGCACTGAGAAACTTGGTGCAGATTTTGTCAAATTAGGAACATTAGCCAGATGCAGTCCGTCGTGAAAACGGCTAATGTCTCCATAAGTCCACATTATTTGCACCTATCTTTCCTGCAAACATGGTCAACGTGTTATCCGTCCATTTACGAGTATGTTCCGTCGTGAAAAAAAAATCAATTTCATCATAGAGCTGAGTGTAACATTCCACGAACATTGTCCATGTGTTCAGTATTGTATGTAACTATTACCAAATGTCTGTTATTTGATCATATCACGATAGATTTCGCCTCACAACATTTACATATCTGAGTTCGGCATAGACCATAAATCTTGGTTAGCGACCAATGACAAAATGTTTTGATCTACGCAGCCGTCTGTATCTTACGCTTATCGCCCATGTTTCAAAGTTCTGAAGCTGCATAAATTTGGTTATCATGTTATACGAGTGTTGTAACTTGTAAGCGCGGATCTTGTATGATGGAACGGGATATGGATGTTGAGACATCCAATTATGTGTAGTGCATGTGATTCCATTTCTGTACATAGAGGGACGGACGCAAGAACTGTCCTGTTGAGGATTCTTACGCCTTGAGGGCCTTTTTGGGTCATATGCTGTTTTAGTAAAACAGTGGTGTTCAGTTATTTTCAAAATTCGGAAGAGCATCCTCCTTTGACGCACTTATTCGGGAGCAATGTGTTTTCAGTGTCGAAAATATAAAAGGTACACAATTGCGCTGGTATTCATAATTATATGCTACCGAACACAGGGTTGGAATTGGAATTTCGAATCATATAAATGTAAAATTACACAAAGCAATTGCCCTTTATCCCGCACCCGGGTGGGCCCTTCCGCCAACTTCGCCATAGTGGGGGAGGGGGGAGGGGGGCGTATTTGGCCACACATTACACCAGGTTATCTCTGAAGCCAGGAAACTATAGAGAGACGCGGAAAGGACAATAGATCGCTGTAAGATCTTTGAGAATCATGCGGGTCATTTTCGATCAGATAACCGCTGAGGTCACTGGAGGTCACTGAACGTAAAATTATCATGGATTTAGGTTCCTGATTTTGGCAGCTTTTCATAAATCGGCGAATAACTCGGAAAACAATAGAGCTAGAGCGCCGCGAAAAGCGCATTCGATAGCTATTTTACAGTTTTACTGAATGTAAATGATGAGACATAAGGTCAAAGGCTTAGCCTCCAGAGGGCAAAAACTCAAAATATGTCGTTTTTGCATTAAAGGTTTTCTGTAGAAGCTTTGGACACAAAGTTTGTACTACGTTGCTTTTGCCGGCTTCGTGCTTCTCTGGTCAAGGCACGCCGAATGAACAATAAATTGACATTTTCAGTTCAACTTAAAAATTTGACCACAGGTCAAGGTCAAAAAAGGTCATGTTGCATAGTAATCGATTCGTAGCGTTGAGCTGAACGCATCCATGGAGTTTTCAACGCTCTACATAGCATGTTTCTATTTTAAGCTATTGTAAAAAAAAAAATGTTGTAGACGTCTCATGACCTGAGATGACCTCAGGGGCATAAAAGAGGTCACAGGTGCAATTTTCCGATTCAGTGTGTCAGGTTTACATGTATTCCGATGTTTGGGAGTGTTCTCGTTCGAAAGAAGAGCATTTCAACTTTCTCTTATTGACTAACAATAGAGAGGTCGCAAAATTGACCTGACCTTAGCTCACCACCGATTCTGAGATAAACAAATTGTTGGCGCAGACTCCCTCATGCAATAGCCCGAGTTTCATTCTAGTATGTAAATTCCACCTCCACACAGGCGAAGGTTACAGCAACAAATATCATCAAAATGCATCGTTAAAATGCTCTCCATCCAAAGTAACCTTTTATCACAAATACACCGGTGGCTATCGTGAAGGCAGCTCACGAGCATTGATTAACGGCAGAGCCGAAACTGGGCCTCATATGGCGACTCAGGCACAGGTCCGAGTCACAAGTCATTCGCTCGGGGTGGAGTAGTCAGGGAGGAGTCCAGAGCGGCCCTAATCTCGGTGAGTCGACAACTTCTCGTGACATTTAGCGGGCTAGTCGTGGGCTCAAAATCAGACCACGCGGGCGAGGTGGATCTAGGGGAATTGGGATGCAGAATTATCGCTATAGTTAAATGCCCAAGTAGTTTGCTCTTTCGGTCAACTATCGCGGTGGCTTGATCCCACATGCAATGTTGAGGTTGAGTGTAACAGCTCCTTTTCTGCCTTTCTGAATCATGTTGATTGCTGCTATTGCACGCATTATTTTTTTCTTAATTATATGTGAGGCGCAAGTCGTTACCGATCATACGTCATGCTTCCGACTTACCTGTTCTCAGACTTATCGACGGTGTTGGACGTCTCCACGCATTACCGTAACTTGACCTAAAGCGCGCCAGTTGCCTGAGTCCCTGCTGTGGCGTCGTTCCGGTGGCACCCACCTGACCTCTGACCTGAGCGTGACCTCCAGAGGTCATCCCCAGCAGCACAATCACCAGGCACACAGACACCATCGTCGACACCAGTTATATAAGCTCGCAAGCACGTGTTCTTCACGTGCAACAGGCGCCCCTGTTCTGAGGGGTCAGAGGTCACATAGGCGGGCGGCTCAGGTCAAGAGGTCACCCATGTAGACGTCTGCCGGCGGCGGCGGCCGGCGCGGCGTGCGGATGCCGACTGCCGCCGTCCTTCTGACGCGGCAGCGCCGACCGATGACGCCACGGTGCGGGCGGCGGCGGCGCTGGTGGTGGAAGGGGTAGGTAATATAGGCGTCCGCGGGACACTGCAGATATTGCTAGAAGTGTATGAAATCACGATTTTATGTCTTCTAGATTGTCTTAACCCTCGCATGTGTGCGGCGTTTGCCAGCGTCTTACGTGTAGGGGGAGTCGGTTGGACCCCCCCCCCCCGCCGTTCGGCCCCTGATTGAGCTAGAGCCTCGCGGAAAAACGAACGTGCTGCCCGTGACGAGAGAAAGCCGATGATACCCAATTTTAAGGTCCTAGGTCATTGGCTGACCTTCCAGTTCAGGTCAATGACCCAAAAGTCGGGAAAATCGGGGCCTGCTAGAACTTCGTAAAGAGAAGCTGTTATGGTTTACCGCGTGTTGCTCACGAATTTCATGTTAGTTTTGATCACAGATGATGTCTTAATGCATTCAGGCCAGGTCGGGTCAGGTCAGGTCAGATCAACCAGTAGGCATCCTGCCGGCTATCCATAGTAGGTGTCAACTACCACTAACGGCGTCGTAACATGTTACGAAGGTACCAAAACTACTTCATAAATGTTCAAATGGATGCTAGATTCGAAATCAGCCCGAAAAACTACCCTAAAACATGTAAAACTCGAAAAAGTGACCTGAGGTCATCAAAGGTCAATGACCTGACCTGACCTTCAGGTGACCTTGACACCCACCGTAATGCGTGGGACGAACATCATTTCACATGTTTTGACGTTTATAATCACAAAAAGACTGGAAACACGCAGATAATGTGAGCTGACATACGCTAAATCGCGATTCCGGCCAAACATGGTCTCGAGAAATAGGTCACAGGTCAAAAGTCATTTGGGTCACGGACATAAAATTTTAAAATTGATCAACTCGAGGGTACTGAAAGTTTCGTTGCGATCGGCCGCGTTTCGCTCGATTTATTCGGGAAAAGCCATGGCGGGTCCATCCGACCCCCCCCCCCCCTCCACCACCACCCCCTTACACATGCGAGGTTTAAATCATTCCTGGCACCAGAATAACAGTGTCCTTATTGGTGAGGTTACGTGACCAACCTGACCTAAAGTGATCTTAATGAAATATCCGAGATAAGCGAGTTGTGGGGTCTTGGAGATATGTCCTGCAAATTTCATCTCCCTGCGAAAGGCTGACCTCGCACTGAGGGTGTTGCGGTATGCGACATTTTATTATAGGACCGCGCGGAGGTTCACTTAGGTATGGCGTGTCATATGTCAGTGAACTGGCATGGCATGAAAATGAGTTTGATGTATAAAAAGATCCTTCATGAATCATAGAAAAGCTCTAACAACTTGCATAGCCCTATCACCAATGGGTTCCGAGCAATCGCGAAAAAAAATGTAGGTATAGACATGGGGTGGACCCTGTCACCTTCTCCCCCCCCCCCTCCCCCGTCCGGTGGGGGCAAAGTGATTTCCGATCAAACTCAAACAACTTTTTAGAAGTTAAATGCACGTTCAATTAGGTATTAGAAAAAAACATATGGTTTCTTCAGACTCAAACGTCCTTTAAAAAAAAAAAAAACTGGAGTGTGACCAAAAAAGTTCAACGGTAGGTAAGTAGGTAGGCATCTACTATCTACCTGCCACATCACCATCACAACACCAAGGCACCGCGCAAACCACCATGAAGGCTCAAAATATGTACGACTCCGAATCATTCTGCTATATGTGGACGGTAACTGGCCGAAGGCCATGTCCGTGAAGTTAGCGTCAGCAACAGCAACGAATACAGCGTCGGATTCAGAATCGCTTCAAAAACTGCCATCAGGTCAATTGGGGGACGGGGAACACGAATAGGACATTTATTTTGCCCTAGCTCCCTTCCTTCGTCCCTTAATCGTCCCTTAAAGGACGGGGCGCGTCAAAAGTGCCCCAAGGCTTCGTCTGATCGCCAAAATAATGGTCGCAATCGATTCCTCGGGTCAATATCTAACCTCAGTCGAAGGTTCCAGACCTGTGGCTCCTATCCCTCATCCCTTAATCGTCCCTTAAAGGACGGGGCGCGTCAAAAGTGCCCCAAGGCTTCGTCTGATCGCCAAAATAATGGTCGCAATCGATTCCTCGGGTCAATATCTAACCTCAGTCGAAGGTTCCAGACCTGTGGCTCCTATCCCTCATCCCTTAATCGTCCCTTAAAGGACGGGGCACGTCAAAAGTGCCCCAAGGCTTCGTCTGATCGCCAAAATAATGGTCGCAATCGATTCCTCGGGTCAATATCTAACCTCAGTCGAAGGTTCCAGACCTGTGGCTCCTATCCCTCATCCCTTAATCGTCCCTTAAAGGACGGGGCGCGTCAAAAGTGCTCCAAGGCTTCGTCTGATCGCCAAAATAATGGTCGCAATCGATTCCTCGGGTCAATATCTAACCTCAGTCGAAGGTTCCAGACCTGTGGCTCCTATCCCTCATCCCTTAATCGTCCCTTAAATGACGGGGCGCGTCAAAAGTGCCCCAAGGCTTCGTCTGATCGCCAAAATAAGGGTCGCAATCGATTCCTCGGGTCAATATCTAACCTCAGTCGAAGGTTCCAGACCTGTGGCTCCTATCCCTCATCCCTTAATCGTCCCTTAAAGGACGGGGCGCGTCAAAAGTGCCCCAAGGCTTCGTCTGATCGCCAAAATAATGGTCGCAATCGATTCCTCGGGTCAATATCTAACCTCAGTCGAAGGTTCAAGACCTGTGGCTCCTATCCCTCATCCCTTAATCGTCCCTTAAAGGACGGGGCGCGTCAAAAGTGCCCCAAGGCTTCGTTTGATCGCCAAAATAATGGTCGCAATCGATTCCTCGGGTCAATATCTAACCTCAGTCGAAGGTTCCAGACCTGTGGCTCCTATCCCTCATCACTTAATCGTCCCTTAAAGGACGGGGCGCGTCAAAAGTGCCCCAAGGCTTCGTCTGATCGCCAAAATAATGGTCGCAATCGATTCCTCGGGTCAATATCTAACCTCAGTCGAAGGTTCCAGACCTGTGGCTCCTATCCCTCATCCCTTAATCAACCCTTAAAGGACGGGGCGCGTCAAAAGTGCCCCAAGGCTTCGTCTGCTCGCCAAAATAAGGGTCGCAATCGATTCCTCGGGTCAATATCTAACCTCAGTCGAAGGTTCCAGACCTGTGGCTCCTATCCCTCATCCCTTAATCGTCCCTTAAAGGACGGGGCGCGTCAAAAGTGCCCCAAGGCTTCGTCTGATCGCCAAAATAATGGTTGCAATCGATTCCTCGGGTCAATATCTAACTTCGGTCGAAGGTGCCAGACCTGTGGCTCCTATCCCTCATCCCTTAATCGTCCCTTAAAGGACGGGGCGCGTCAAAAGTGCCCCAAGGCTTCGTCTGATCGCCATAATAATGGTCGCAATCGATTCCTCGGGTCAATATCTAACCTCAGTCGAAGGTTCCAGACCTGTGGCTCCTATCCCTCATCCCTTAATCGTCCCTTAAAGGACGGGGCGCGTCAAAAGTGCCCCAAGGCTTCGTCTGATCGCCAAAATAATGGTCGCAATTGATTCCTCGGGTCAATATCTAACCTCAGTCGAAGGTTCCAGACCTGTGGCTCCTATCCCTCATCCCTTAATCGTCCCTTAAAGGACGGGGCGCGTCAAAAGTGCCCCAAGGCTTCGTCTGATCGCCAAAATAATGGTCGCAATCGATTCCTCGGGTCAATATCTAACCTCAGTTGAAGGTTCCAGACCTGTGGCTCCTATCCCTCATCCCTTAATCGTCCCTTAAAGGACGGGGCGCGTCAAAAGTGCCCCAAGGCTTCGTCTGATCGCCAAAATAATGGTCGCAATCGATTCCTCGGGTCAATATCTAACCTCAGTCGAAGGTTCCAGACCTGTGGCTCCTATCCCTCATCCCTTAATCGTCCCTTAAAGGACGGGGCGCGTCAAAAGTGCCCCAAGGCTTCGTCTGATCGCCAAAATAATGGTCGCAATCGATTCCTCGGGTCAATATCTAACCTCAGTCGAAGGTTCCAGACCTGTGGCTCCTATCCCTCATCCCTTAATCGTCCCTTAAAGGACGGGGCGCGTCAAAAGTGCCCCAAGGATTCGTCTGATCGCCAAAATAATGGTTGCAATCGATTCCTCGGGTCAATATCTAACCTCAGTCGAAGGTTCCAGACCTGTGGCTCCTATCCCTCATCCCTTAATCGTCCCTTAAAGGACGGGGCGCGTCAAAAGTGCCCCAAGGCTTCGTCTGATCGCCAAAACAATGGTAGCAATCGATTCCTCGGGTTAATATCTAACCTCAGTCGAAGGTTCCAGACCTGTGGCTCCTATCCCTCATCCCTTAATCGTCCCTTAAAGGACGGGGCGCGTCAAAAGTTCCCCAAGGCTTCGTCTGATCGCCAAAATAGGGGTCGCAATCGATTCCTCGGGTCAATATCTAACCTCAGTCGAAGGTTCCAGACCTGTGGCTCCTATCCCTCATCCCTTAATCGTCCCTTAAAGGACGGGGCGCGTCAAAAGTGCCCCAAGGCTTCGTCTGATCGCCAAAATAAAGGTCGCAATCGATTCCTCGGGTCAATATCTAACCTCAGTCGAAGGTTCCAGACCTGTGGCTCCTATCCCTCATCCCTTAATCGTCCCTTAAAGGACGGGGCGCGTCAAAAGTGCCCCAAGGCTTCGTCTGATCGCAAAAATAATGGTCGCAATCGATTCCTCGGTCTAAAATAATGACCTCGGTCAAAATAATAATCGCGCCCCGTCCTTTAAGGGACGATTAAGGGATGAGGAATAGGAGCCACAGGTCTGGAACCTTCGACTGAGGTTAGATATTGACCCGAGGAATCGATTGCGACCCTTATTTTGACGATCAGACGAAGCCTTGGGGCACTTTTGACGCGTCCCCTCCTTTAAGGGACGATTAAGGGATGAGGGATAGGAGCCACAGGTCTGGAACCTTCGACTGAGGTTAGATATTGACCCGAGGAATCGATTGCGACCCTTATTTTGA